ACCGCGAACGACCACAGAAAATGGGGAGCAGCCGCATGGATCATGGACGTACGAGCGACGTCCATGACCATGCCAATGCGGCGCTCAGCAATCCCATTTTGCTGTGGGGAGGCCGGAAGCGTGAACGTCTGGCGGATGCCCTCCGCACGATAGAAGGCCCTCAGGAGGTCGGAGGGAAACTCACCACCTCTGTCTGAGTGCAGACGTAGAACAGGAAGGTCCGAGCCGAAACGCTCGTTGAGCTGGCGACGAGCAACGCGGATCCAGACGATCAACACCTCAGGGACCTCACCCTTGCTGCGCAAGGGGAAGACGGTGGTGTAACGCGAGTAGTCGTCAACGACCAGCAGGAAGTAACGCTCATGACCCTGTCCATGGACGCGGGCTGGGCCTCACACGTCCATGTGAAGAGTCTGCAGGGGAGCCTCTGTCGGAGGGAACGTGGAGGAGTGAGGAGCGGCGCGCTGCCGGCCCTCGACACAAGGAACACAGGTAGGGGCAGGCCCCGGAGGAAGGGGAGGGAGGGACCGGGGGAGACCCGAGACAAGGGTACGGGAGGCCATACCTCGAAGACGAGGCAGGGAGGGGTGACCAAGGCGGTGGTGCCAAAGGAGAGTCTCGTGTGACAGAGGACGACACGAGCAGGGGGCAGACGCTGGACTGGACCTGGACGCGGCAGCAAACACCTGTCTGGACGCGGCTACCTGACCAGACGCAGTGGCCGGAGGAGAAGCAGTAGTCAGTGTGTACAGACTCGACCCAGGCCGACGGGTGAACGTGGCCAGGTGGCGGCCCGTCCGAGAGCAAGTGCAGTGGGTCACACATTGACCTCCAGGGGTGAACTGGTCAACCCACGCGTCCTGGAGGTCAGCTCCACTCACCAAGTTCGTAGAGAACGAGGGGAGGTGGAGTCCCGACAGCAAGCCCGACGGGGCCGCAGGACACGGTAAAACCGTGGAAGAGTGCGCAAGGACTGGGCCCCCAGAGGGGTCAGCCAGGGAGACTGCGACAGGCCGACTGAGCGGCGTGAGTGTGGTGCTGTCGCAAAAGAAAGAACGCGAAGCACCATAGTCAAGTGTGAAAGTGTGCAAGGCCTCAGTAGGTGCAGTACCAGAGAGAGCAGACTCACCAGCACCTGGAGCAGCAGACTCACCAGTACCTGGAGCAGCAGACGCACTAGCACCCAGAGCAGCAGACGCACTAGGATCCAGAGCAGCAGCCTCAATGCCCGGGTCGGGCGAAACACTCAGGTAACAGTCACCCTCAGCACTATCAGTCACAGCATACATGGTAGCAAGGATAGCATCGAAATCAAGATCAAAGATAGCAACATTCTGCTTAAGCAGATCACCCCAGCGAGGGAGCTCAACAGCGTCAAGAAACTGGGCGCGCCAGGCATCAGTCAGGCGACCGAAGCAGTGCTGCACAGTGTGTGGCAGCCCGCACGTCTCCCCACGGCGCCCGCCGGTGCGAAGAACGTAAGTGCAGGGACCAGCACCCCCAGACCTCCCACGCCCAGCGTACCACTCACGAAGCTGCTGGGCCGACGGGGTCTCACGGGAACGCGGCTGCTGCTGGCGCTGGTTACCACCAAAGCCTCCACGCTGCGCGGCTGCACCTCGACCAGCACCACCGCCGCCGCCACCTCCACCACCGCTGCCGCTGCCACCACCACCGCTGCCGCTGCCGCCACCACCTCCACTGCCGCCACTGACGCCCCCACTCCCGGCACCACCCCCACCTCCACCGTCACCCCCTCCGCCTCCTCCACCGCCTCCGCCGCCGCCCCCGCCGTCCCCTCCACCACCCTTGCTCCCCTTGCCCTTGCTGTTGCGGCGCCTCCCACTAGGAGCAGACGCAGCACCGACCTCCTCAGTGCCAACGAGGTCGACAGCAGAAGCAGAAGCAACAGAGGGGAGAAGGGGGACAGGGGAACACCCCTCAAAGAAAGGGATGCGACGGTCGCCGCGATAAGCACCTACAGCTAAGATACTCTTCTCAGCCGCAGTGAGGCGCTCCTCTAGCAGGTCGACAGTGAGCTCGGTGGGGCAAAGGGAGAGAAAGTGGTCCCTGGCTGACGAAAGGGAGTCAGGGAGGCGGGTGACTAGGTAGTAAAGGGTGATGTACATGGGGGGGGGGGGTTCTTGGCACTGAACTCAGTGGGAAGGGCAGCGCGGTAGCGGGCGTCACTAGTGCGGAGGTGAGTAATGAGGTCAGCGATTGTGGCAAAGGCGGCAAGGTCAGGGAAAAGGTACGGCAGCATGAGGCGACTGAGGGCAGCAGTGGCAGGGGAAGAGTAGCGAGCAACTACAGCGTCGTACAAGGACTGAGCGGTCTTGTACTAGCCAAAATGCGCGCGCTGAGCAGGCGGCAGGTGACTACGAACAGCAAGGCGAGAAACAGCGTCACGAGTGGTCCACTGCGAGCGAACCGTACTGTCAGCAGTGGCAGCAGGTGCAGTAGAGACACCGGACGTGTGATCGAACAGGGATACCCCATCCCTAGAGTCACACTGAAGAAAGAGCTGCAGGTCGTCAACCCACACGTCAAAGTCAACTGCACGCCCCTCAGCATCAAAGGTGAGAACAGTAGGGCTAGCCATAGCAGCAGTAGCAGCAGTAGCAGCAGTAGCAGCAGCAGTAGCAGCAGTAGCAGTAGTGGCAGCAGAATAGCAGCGCGGCTCGGCAGTGCGGCGCGGCTTGGCTGGGCGGCGCGGCTCTGTGGGGCGGCGCGGCTCGGCTGGGCGGCGCGGCTCGACAGGGCTGCACGGCTCGGTTCCTGGCGGCGCGGCGCGGCAGCAAGCGGCGCGGCGCGGCAGGGCAGCGCGGGTGCTTACCAGGGGCGGGTGCAGGGCAGGGCCGCAGCTGGCGGTTTAGGTCAGGGCCGTGACCGGGGCAGCAGTAGGGCAGGGCCGCGACAGGGGCGGCTGCAGGGCAGAGGCCGCAAAGGGCGGCAAAGGCAGGGCCGCGACTGGGGCGGCAGCAGGGCAGTGCCGCGACAGGGGGCAGCTGCAGGGCAGGGCCGCGACAGGCGGCGAACGGGCCGACGACGGGCGGCTGCAGGGCAGAGGCCGCGACGGGCGGCGAACGGGCCGACGACGGGCTGCGAACGGGCCGCGACAGGCGGCGAACAGGCCGACAACGGGCGGCGACGGGCCGACGACGGGCGGCAAAGGGGTCGGGACGGGCCGGCGATGGGCCGGGACGGGCCGGGACGGGCCGAGAAGGGCCGGGACGGGCCGGGTCGGGCCGAGACTGGCCGGGACAGGCCGGGACGGGCCAGCGACGGGCGAGCGCGGGGCCGCAGTGGGCGGCTAAGGCAGGGCCGCGACGCGTGGCGACGGGCCAGCGACGGGCAGCTACGGGCCGGGACGGGCCGGCTGAGGTAGGGCCACGACGGGCCAGCTAGGGAAGGGCGCGCGACGGCGCACGTAAGGCAGGCGCGAGGCGCGCTTCGGGCAGGGCAGGAAAAATAAAGTTCGTGGTGGGCCCTAAAAAAAACGTTCCCACGAGGGAACCTGCTCTGATACCATGTTAGAATAAGGAACGGAATAAATGAACTAGGAAGCAGGTGGGTACAAGTAGGAAACCTAAAAGTGTTGTACCCTATATGAACTACCCCACTACTGCCTAGATAGACTATAGCATATAAGTTTGACACATCATTGCATCAACAATGCATGTCTGCGAATTTTAAAAAGATGGCTCAGGTCTATCATTTCAGAAAAGGTTCATTGGCGCACAAAGTGACTCGCGTATTGCCACTTCGAACTGGATTTGATAGGGTTGACCATTTTTTTAGGATTTACAGATTGTGTTGTTTCATGTGATAGTTGATTATTCAAAATCTATGCTATTGACCTTCCCCCCGTGCTAGGCAGGGGATAGCGGTAGCTTAGTTTTTGGGTCGTTGACTGTCACGCATTTTATGATGTGCATGCATGTGCATCATGATTCGTGACATATCATATTAAACATTATGCATCCTATAGCATTATTTTATGCACATGCATTTATTTATCATTACTACAACACCATTTAATAGTAACACATATAATACAAACAGTATAATATATCTGCATAAAACACATGATAAAAAAATCATATGGTTTGATGTACTGTGAACAGTATTGACAACTACTCATTATGCACAGTATGGGAAGGGTACTGTAGTTTATGAAATTTATTTTCATTTTTATTTGAAATTAATATATATAAAAATAAAAATTTGGCAAAATCGATCGTAAAGGTTTGCTTCGCAACCCAAAAAAAAAAAAAAAATCAACCTTCAAAAGGACGGGAAGCATACAGCACAGCATCACCCATCCGCGAATCATCAACCAGACTTTGTCAGAACCCACCTTCACCAGATTACAAGCTTCTTTCGTGTACATGTAGTCACAGTCTGTGTCAAGTGCTTCGCCTCAATCCAAAGCCACCATGTCCGTCAGCACCGCTGCAGCCGTCGCTGCTGCTACCTTCTCCGACGGTGCTGCAAGAATTGCCGTCTCTCGTCGGGGACTTGGGCCTTCGTTGATCGGACGATCTGCGTTGATCGGACGATCTGCGTTGATCGGACGATCTGCGTTGATCGGAAGATCTACCAAGCGCTCGAGCCTGACAGGTATATATGTAATATTTTCAGTCATCTTGGCCCGTTCACCTTCCAAAAGCAATTACTAATAGGTAATATTACTCGCCAGATTGTTGATTACCTCGAATCTGCACAGTTAATCTCTCTGATCCTCTATTTTAAATCAATTTCTTTCTTCTTTTGCCCTTCCGGGCTCAGGTAAATGTGGCGCATCAACCGCTGTACACGTGTTCTGCTCTGGGAACCCCCACACTGGCCCGTCCACGTCAGCACCAGCACCGTCCACGACAGCACCAGCACCGCCCACGTCCGCATCATCCATGACATCATCTGACGGTGGGGAAACGGCCCCGTTCCGGCAGATGAGTCCGGAGGAGCACTGGCGGTGGGCCACGCCGGAGCGCCTTATGACCAACTGGCACGGCCAATGGCGATGTTGGAAGCCTCTCGAATCAACAGACGCGATCCGATCATTCAAATCCGTGCGGAAATTTTGGGCCACGTCACCCGATCGCAGCAGCTATGCTCACATGGTGATTCGCACAAACTCCTTTCCCCATCTCGCCTAAAGCCCCCCCCTCCCCTTCTCCCACTCCCCTCCCTCTGCCCCTCCCCTTTCCCCCCGCAACTCCCCTTGTTTCCCCGCACCTAGCTTCCATTCTCCTCTTCCTTGTCGTTTTTCCACGCACTCTGACGCACTCCCACTCAGACGCCACTTCCCTTCTCTGCTCTCTCCCACCTCTCTCTGCCTCTTTCTCGTGACACCATTGCTACCATCCCAACGCATACCATACCATACCATACCATACCATACCATACCATACCATACCATACCATACCATACCATACCGTACCATACCATGCCACCACGCTACCCCAGAACGACTTCTATGACGAGCAAGGCGAGGTGCCCGAGTTTCCGCCGCCGTCAGGCGTCCAGTATGACATGTCGCTCGCAGAACACAGCCTGCCAGACGGATTCTACCACGTGGCAGTCAGCACAGCGCGCCGCCACGCTGTCAGCCGGGAGGGGGACGGTGTATTTGGGCCTCTGGAGGTGGGGGATGGGGTGGGCGGCATCAAGCTGCCATTCATAGAGGAGTTCTTCTTCTCCCACAGTGAGTACTCCTTGCTGTGTTTTGAGTTGACTCAAACCACGAGTTCTTCTTCTCCCACAGTGAGTAGACGACTTTTTAGACGTCTCAAAAGGCGGCATCAAGGTGCCATTCCTGGAGACGTTCTTCTTCTCCCTCAGTGAGTCATGGCTGAAGCGACCGCCTCGATCTCTCAACTTGATTGCTCACAGAGAAGGAAAGCTCGTTTGTTTTTTGGGTGCCTCAAGACGAGCTCCCTCTGCTGGTGGATTTCGTCTTTTTCTTCTTCTTTTTCATATTTTTCAGAGCGTCTGAGTTTACAGGGTCTGGAAGCGGCTCCTGCGGAAGAGGGCATTTACTGTCGTTGTCGTTGTTTTCCTCGTTGTTCACCCTCTCTCTCTCTCTCTCTCTCTCTCTCTCTCTCTCTCTCTCTCTCTCTCTCTCTCTCTCTCTCTCTCTAATGGCCCTTTCATTGATAGTCAAGGTGAACAAGCATGCAAGGTATAGGTATCACGCACGTAGGGCTAACACATATTACACTTCCTACTCACTCCTCAGCTCAACACCCTCTAAGGAAGATCCAGCGCAGGATCAAGAACCGAGAGGCATTCCCCAAGGGACGGGGCCTCACCCGCTGCCTCTAGTAGCGGGTTTTCTACTGCTGCTGCTATGTTGCACTTCTCAAGGTACCCAACCGACTGCCCCCTTTGAAGAGCCACCGACCACCGCTGCCGATATTGATGTAAGAGCTTGGCAGCTAGGTAGGAGGATGGCTCGGCGTTGAAAAACCGCCGTGCAGCCGTCTCTGCGAGTAGCTTCAGGAAGTCTACCGACTCGGGGCATGTGCACCCAATCTCTCTCTCTCTCTCTCTCTCTCTCTCTCTCTCTCTCTCTCTCTCTCTCTCTCTCTCTCTCTATGTGTGTGTTTTGTTTTGTTTTTTTATTGTTCGATTGTCTGTTTTGCCTTGCTTCTCTGTCCCTGGTTGCATATCAACTCTCAGTTCCTTGTGTTTGCCAGCCTTATCAGCAACATGGTTGGGTTTGCAGACAATGGAGCATTCCAGCCAGTCCTAGGGTTCGGGGAGTATCTGAAACGAACTGTGAGGCGCCGTAGACACCAGTACCGCCGTACATATTTATAGTGCTCAATGATTCTACCCATTCGCATTTCTTCTGTTTGCTTGCTCTCCAGCCCCCACGTCTCGTTTTGGCTGCATGGTGGGATACAATCCGGAAGGAGCATTGCGTGCCTTCGTGGTGGTAGAGGACTCACTAGACACCAACGAACGCCGCCCCTCCGACTGGGTCTGGCCCACGTGGGGCCCGGGCGGCGTCCCGTCCCGTCTGCCCGACCACCTGCCGCCTGTTCCGGCACTAGATGACAAGACAGTGGTGGGAGCTCGCACCGTTCTGACTCGCAACCTGATGGTTCAGGAGCGGGAGGACGTGTCTTGGGCGGAAGAATGGGGCCCTAACAGCGCTGCCGCTGCTGCCGCCATTGCTGCTGGTGACACTGCTTCAGCTAAAAATGCTGTAGCAGCAGCAGCAGCAGCTGGCTTTATGGGGCGAGTGCCGGAGGGAGATGAGGACCGTTACACGGTCGTTGCTCTGCCCCACGGGGTGGTGGTGTGCGCCCCTCTCTCGCCGCAGCTGGTGGCAGGCAGGCCGTTTGTGCTGTCGGCGTCGTGGGTGGTGAGAGAGGGCGAGGTGAAGCGGATCACTGCCTCTTGGGGGGCGAATGGGGGCTTTGAGGAAGTGGAGGGCGAGTGGTACAGGAGACAGGCGTGAAAGGGGAGCAATGGTGTATAGGATGTTGAAACGAAGGGAGGGATGTGTTTCTTGGGGACGGGTGAAGGCACGGGAGAGAGAGAGAGGTGGCTGTGTGTGTGTGTGTGAGTGTGTGTGGCTGTGTGTGTGTGTGTGTGTGTGTCTGTGTGTGTGTGTGTCTGTGTGTGTGTGTGGGTGGGTGTGTGTGTGTGTGTGTGGGTGTGTGTGTGTGTGTGGCGCTGTGTGTGTGTGGCTGTGTGTGTGCGTGTGGCGCTGTGTGTGTGTGTGTGGCTGTGTGTGTGTGTGTGTGGCTGTGTGTGTGTGTGTGGCGCTGTGTGTGTGTGTGTGGCTGTGTGTGTGTGTGTGTGGCTGTGTGTGTGTGTGTGGCTGTGTGTGTGTGTGTGTGTGGCTGTGTGTGTGTGTGTGTGTGGCTGTGTGTGCCTGTTTGTGTGTGTGTCTACACGGCACCCATTTCACTGCAGCAAGCAGTGGTGGGGGAGAGAGGGTGGGTTAGGCAGGTGATGCAAGCACCTGGAATTGTAGATTGTTGAATTCTACTGTACATCACATTTGCTTTGAAAGAGGTGTTTTTTTCTTTTGTCCGCTTTACACTGTGCCCCATACAACTGCCACGTCAAATCACATGTGGAGAACAGCAAAAAAGAATCAGTACAATTGTAACCTGGACACATATGCTCAACGAATTGTTCTGGACTGGACTACACTTGGCTATTCTGCCGGTTTGTCAACATCAGCATCGAAACAGGGAAACACTACAGACACCATACACTAAGGATATTCGATAAACATAGGTAGTTGAGGGGAGGCAAGTTAGGGGGAAGGAAGGAGGGAGAGGAGAGAGCGAGGGATTCCTTCCCTCTTAAGTCAGAGGGAGAAGGGAAAGAAGGAAGTCAGAGTCATTAGTTCCCCGTGCAACATAACCCACCCGTCCAGGTCCTCTTACGTAACGTACTCCCCCCTCCCATGTTGTTCCCTTCCTCCGCTCCCCATCCTTTTTTAGTCGACTCACTAGTTCCCCGTGCAACATAACCCACCCGTCCAGGTCCTCTTACGTAACGTACTCCCCCCTCCCATGTTGTTCCCTTCCTCCGCTCCCCGCCCGTTTTATGTCGACTCACTTGTTCCCCGTGCAACAAAACTCACCCGTCCAGGTCCGCATACGTACTCATCCCCTCTACTTCTAAGTCGATCATACCCTCCAGGCCCTCAAAAGCAGACCCGTCCAGGTCCTCTTACTCATTCCCTCTCATGTCGTTCCCCCCTCCTCCACTCCCCAATCTTTTTGAGTCGACTCACTAGTTCCCCGTGCAACACAACCCGCCCCTCCAGGGCCTCTTACTAGTCCCCTCTCATGTCCTTCCCACCCCCCTCCTCCGCACCCCACCCCTCACCCCCCTCTTTCACTATTTCTCTTATGGGATCAACCCTTCTCCTGCGTGCCTCCAGCCTTCAGCAGCCTGCCTCCACGCCACAGCAACAGCAGACACAATACTCGTCTTGATCATACTTATCCTCCTCTGCACCCCACCCCTCATCCCCCCCTTTCTTTCACTATTCATCTTATGGGATCAGCCCTTCGTCTGCATGCCTCCAGCCTTCAGCAGCCTCTCGCCACGCCACAGCGACAGCAGACACATACTCGCCTCGCTCATACTTGTCTTTCTCAAACACGATAAACCCATCCAAGTCCTCATACTCATCCTCTCCCATGTGCATCCCCTCTCTCCTCTCCGCCTCCACCAGCTCTGCAATGTACGCGTTCCGCCTCCTCCTCCCTCTCCTCCCTCCCGCCTCACCTTTCATGCCTTCGCTTTCTTCGCTCTCCTCTCCTTCACCCATGCCCTCGCTCTCTTCACTCTCCTCTACTCCCCCCATGCCTTCGCTCTCCCCCAACCCTTCCCTCTCCTCCTCTCTTCCCACTTTGTCACTCTCCTCTCCTGCTCCATTTCCTCCTCCTTTCCCTCCCATGTCTCCCCCCTCTTCCCCTCCCAGCTCACCTCCTCCTTCCCCTCCTACCTCTCCTCCTCTCCTCCCCAATCCCCTCCTTCCGCTTCCCCTACTTGCCCCACTCCCCCCTACCTTACCCCTACTCCCCTCACTCTTTCCCTCTCCCTTCGCCCCACGCCCCCTCGTCCTCCCCCCACTATCCCCACCTTTCCGCACACTCTTCGTCCCAGTCCCTCCTGCAGCTTCCTCCGCACTTCCAGCCGCCCCAGACTCCTTCACAGCAGCTTCCTGTCCCTTCTCTGCTCGCATGTCGCCCATTTTGCCAGCTGCACGAGGTGACTTTTGAGTCGACTCAAAAGTCACCTCTGCTCGCATGTCGCCCATTTTGCCAGCCGTACCAGAGGGTTTATCTTCCCTAACTGCCTCTGCAGCCTTCTTCCCCGTGTTCCACTCCTTTTGAGGCGCCTCAAAAATCGAATCAGAAGGTTCACCCTTTCTCATTGCCTCTGCAGCCTTCTTCCCCATGTACCAAGTCGTCTTTTGAGTTGACTCAAAACACGTACCAGAGGGTTTATCTTCCCCCATTGCCTCTGCAGCCTTCTTTCCCATGTTCCACTCCTTTTGAGGCGCCTCAAAAATCGAATCAGAAGGTTCACCCTTTCTCATTGACTCTGCAGCCCCCCCTTCCCCTTTTGTTTCCCCCTCTCCTTCCCCCTCCCCTTCTCCCACCCATTCACACTCCCCTCCCCCTTCCATTTCCATCTGCTTCTGCCGCCCGCTGTGCCGCCCACCGCCCTGCTCCACTTCCACTCTCTTCAGCACCGTGCTGTTACGCAGTAACCTGGTAACCCTGCCCTGCCCTCCTCGCTCAGACTGCTTAACCTGCCCTCCCTTCTCACGCTTTTTCCCCTGTGCTCCCATTTCCCGCTGCTCCTCCTTCCTCTGCCCCTTCCCCTCCTTCAGCTCCTTTTTCCCTTGCTTGCTCGCCTCTCTCATTCCTTCTCCTTTCCCCTCTTCCACCTCCACCATACCCACAACACTAGTTTTCCCCCTTTTCACTTCCATACCCCCTTTCTCTTCCACCTCCATACCCCCTTTCTCTTCCACCTCCATACCCCCTTTCTCTTCCACCTCTGTATACAACCCCACGTTCACCACCGTTTCTTCATCCCCACACGCTTTTTTCTCCCTGCTCCAGTCCTTTTCCTCGCCCCGCTCCTTCTCCTCGCTCCCTTCCATCTTCTCGGCTCCCCTTTCCTTCTCCTTGACCCCCTCCCGCTCCTCCTTCCCCTCCTCCTCCTCCTCCCGCTCCTCCTTCCCCTCCTCCTCCTCCTCCCGCTCCTCGTTCCCCTCCTCCTCCTCAGTTAGATCCACAAACTCGCACTTCGGTTTTTCAGCCTCTCCTGTGTTTTCAAATTCCTCCTCCACTACTATCTTTCCCCACTCCCTCCCCGTCGCCTTCCCCCCCCCCTCCCCTTCCGCTGACATTCCGCCCTCCCTCTCCGCCATCACCCTCCCGACCCCCCCCAGTTCCTCCGCCCCCCCTACCTTCCCCGCCCAAGCTGCCTCCTTCTGCAGGCTCCGACTCTCGCCCCGCCCCCACCCCCGTCCGCGCCCCCGTCCGCGTCCCCGTCCCCGCCCCCGTCCCCCCCCTCCCTTCCCTGCTACCGACATTTTCTGCCGCCCCACATTCCCTGCAGCGCCAACTCCTTCCGCCATTTTCTCCGCCTCCTCCGCCTTCGCCGACTCTACCACCTCTTCCACCGCATAGAGACCGCCTTCGCCAACTGCCAGCTCCGCCTCCCCCACTTCCCCCACTTCCTTCACTTCCTTTGCCTCTTCCACCTCCTCTACCTCCCCCGCCTCCTCTACGTCCCCCACCTCCGCCGCTTCGAGCACCGCCGCGTTTCGAGGTGCCTCATGGTAACCCTTTTTGACACCTGCCCGCTGCACATCCCCCACCTCCTCCACTTCCTCCACCTCCTCCACCTCCTCCACCTCCATTTCCTCCGCTTCCTCCGCTTCCTCCGCTTCCTCTGCTTCCTCCGCTTCCTCCGTGTCCTCTGCTGCATTTCCCCACACCAATTTCAACTCTAACTGACCCCAAGAGGACTTTTGAGTCGACTCAAAAGTCGCCGCATTTTCCCACACCAATTTCGACTCTGACTGACCCCAAGAACCCCCCTCCCCTTTCACGGCCCCCTTCTCCTGATTCCTGACTCCCGCATGGGTTGGATCCTTCACTTTCCCCCTCCCCATCCCCGTTCCCTCTCCCTTCCCCTTCCCCGTCCCCGTCCCCTTTCTTCTCCGCCCCGTTACCGTTTCCTTACCCACCCCCTCTCCATCCTCTTCCTCCTTCACCTTCCCCCTTCTTTTCCCCTGCTCCCTCCCCTTATTGATCCCCTTCCCATACTCTCGTTCTCCTGCCCTCACTCCTTTAGCTCCAGTACTCCCAACCGACTTGCCCTCGCTCGTAGTAGTGCTTTTCTTGAACCCGCCCTCACCACTCCCAACCGGCTTGCCCTCAGTAGTGATAATGTTTCCCTCGAAGCCACCTTCACCACTTCGGATCGGATCCGCACCTCCTTCATCCCTCCCTCCACCTCCACCCCCACTTGCTCCACCTCTTCCTCCACTTCCCTTTCCTCCCCCACTGTTTTTTCCTTCACCGATGATTCTTCTTCCTTCACCAGCCTCACAAGCTTCCCCACTTCCTCCCCCTTCACCGCTTCCCCCTCCTCGATCTGCGCCTCCACCTGCTCCTCCACCGGCTCCTCCACCTCCTTTCCCGTCCACAGCCTTCCTTCTCGCAGCGCGCGTGATCCTCGTCGTCTCGTCTCCTCCTCCCGCCAGTTCCTCAATCTCCGCTGTAAACTCACTCCTTTTAAGTAACGTAAACGAGTGCAGCTTGCGCAGCTCCATGGCCCCGCGCCTCACATCCTCTTGAAACGAACTCGTTCGCAATAACGAGTGCGAGTGCAGCATGCGCAGCTCCCTGCCCGACTCTCGCACCGCCCTGCCCGACTCTCGCCTCGATCCTTCCCAAGGTATAATGGCTAAGGGAGACTCTTCACCCAGCGGCTCCTTCTTCGCATCCATTCTCGAAGTTTTTCGAGCCCTCCGTTCTGAGACTTCGGCTGTCGATTTATGGAAATTGTCCGAGGTTTTAGCCCACGACTCCTCCCCTCCGGCACCCGCTGATTCTGGACCCTTGGGTTCGAAAACCACCAGAGCTTTTCCGTTATCCGCGTCCTCGTTACTAGCTACGGGTGCGATCTTCAGCTTCTTCGCCACACCTTGTCTCTCGAATTCAGAAACACGGTCCTTCTTGCGGGTGTACCCACGCCTCGGCCCACTATCCAACTTCAGGGGGGCGCTTATAGTGTCAATTCTCGATGCGGCAGCGGGCTGCGGTATCGCCATCTCGTTCGGACGCTTCTTTACGATGACCGTCGTTCGTTTTCCCATCTGGCTTGATCGGCTAGCCTCCGTACCCTTCCCAATTAAGCCCACCTCTTTGGCTCGATATTAAATACCGAGTCAAACAGATGCTCCCCTATTTTCCTTATAGTATACAACGGCAGCCCCAATTACGGAGGGTCCTATAGATCGATAGGGCTATGAGAAAATTGTTGCTCCGAGTCCAAAAGTAGAGAGCGGAAAAACTGCCTCCCTAATTCAATCATGTCAAAATGTATGGTGAGGTGACCTTGGTGTTGGCGAGTGGCTGCGTGAACCAAGTCCTCTCAAAAGTCATGCTTGATTTTGACACTTCGAGGTTGCAAAAAAGGGGCCTTGCGTTTTGTTTGTGCTTTCCTCGCAGCTTGATTGTGAAATGGAGTTTTCGTGGGGTTCAATAGATTGGATGGGGTAGGGACCAAGGAAGCAGCGCGCCGCATGTCCCTCGATTTTAGTTGCGCGCGGCTTGAAGGAGGAATTTTGAAGCAACATTCGTGCCACGTGTCTACAAACTTGTGTACGCTTTATGGAGAACTTTCTGTGGCGCTATAGCAATTTGTAGCTGAACTGGCTGCGTCGAAAATATGTTTCTTTCGTCTTCAATGTCGGTGGGATTGGTTGGGCAAACAATGGGACCATTCTCGTCAGCTTGTTTCCTCCCCACGTCAGCACGGCCCACACTGACATGTCCCTGGGACACAGCAGCCTCATCTGACGTGGAAATGAAACCGCCAACATCGAGCAAATATTCTTGCCTACTCCTGTCATCAAGCATTCGCTTCACCCTCATTCCGAGCTTCCGTTTCCGGTTAGACCAAATTTCTCTGCTCTACCAGCTGCTTTTGCCCACACACACGAGGTTTTCTAGGCGTTCTTATTTTGATCAAAAGTTGCGAGTAGTGCGCATCGGACCGCTCGTAATGGCGACGCCAAAGGTTAAGCTCACCGTGGGCTCGGATGGAGTGGCTGTTATTGAAATTCACAACCCTCCTGTCAATGCTCTCGCACCAGAAGGTATTAGTGGTTCTGTGAACCAGGATCGTGGAGTTTATTATTAAGGATGCGCGATTCATCTTCAGTATTCTAACCTATTGATTTTGTCTGCAGTCCTACTCGGTTTGAAGGTGTCGTTCGACGAGGCGCACCGGAGGAACGACGTGAAAGCCATTGTCGTAACTGGTAATTTGCGAATCAACCCTTTCTGCACGTCCTCCTTAAGTCGTCGAAACTAGTTTAGCATAACTCATTTGTCCGGAAGTAGCTCACTCTGGTTCGTTTCTGTGGCTTGCTGTTTCAGGGACTAATGGCAAGTTCTCAGGAGGTTTCGACATCTCGGCGATTGTTGCAGTCCAGGAAAATGGTATTGTTTCTTTGCCTCTTAGTGCTTCTCGCGCTCAAGCCTTCTGCAATTCGAGTTGGTCAGTGACTCGTTCCTGTGGTTTTTGTGTGCTGGTTGTTTCCGTTACAGGGAACATGGACTCGATGGTCAGGCCGTCAGTCCCACTCTTCGTGGAGACCATTGAAGGTACCCAGCTCTCAACATTTCATTTCAATATGGAATAGAATGTGTCATAATCACAAATACTCACACATGTCAGTGCTGCCCTATGCAGGTGGTTCAAAGCCAGTCGTGGCGGCCGTTGAGGGTCTTGCTCTAGGCGGTGGCTTGGAGCTTGCACTGGTACGCACGTCATCACTCTAGATCGTATAACATTGTGAAGCACAGTCATATTCCTATGAAAAAACACACTCGCACACTCATTAACAGATTCGATTGTTTTTTTGTTCTCTGTCTTTTCCAATGTCAGTCGTGTCATGCAAGAATCGCTGCACCCAAGGCTCAGCTGGGGCTTCCAGAGCTGCAGCTCGGCATCATTCCTGGATTCGGAGGTACTGGTCCATGTTTGCAGATGCAAGGATCGGCTGGCCTATGCTTGACCACCTATGCATGACCACCTATCTGTATGATTCTGATGCTGTTGGTGTTGCTGCCTTCTGTTTTGTAATTTGCAAGTCTCCGTCGTAAGGAAAGGTTTTCCTGACATTGTGTATCGGTTTGCTGGTTGTATCCAGGCACACAGCGTTTGCCTCGCCTGGTTGGCCTGCAAAAGGCAATCGAAATGATCCTGGTGAGTCCCTTCAGCATTTTCCAGCAGAAACATTACGTTTTGTTTTGCATTCGTTCTGATGCCTTTTTCCTCCCTTTTGGTCCCAGATGTCCAAGCCTATCACGTCTGAAGCGGGACTCAAAGCCGGTCTGGTTGATCAGATTGTTCCAAGCAATGCCCTGCTGACCACCGCCAAGGCGTGGGCTCTGGATATTGCCAGCGGCAGGAAACCATGGCTGAAGACGCTGGAGAGGAACGATAGGATTGAGAGCCTGGGCGAGGCTCGAGCCATTTTCAAGTTCGCCAGGGCTCAGGCGGTTCAGACGGCTCCTAACCTGACTCATCCGCTGCGGTGCCTGGACGCCATGGAGTATGGCGTCACCCATGGAGGGTACGCCGGCAATCTCAAGGTGAGATCCTCTGAAGCACAGGAACACTTCAAGTGTCACTGCCACGTCACCGTTGTATTACAATGTGTGAGACATATGGGAAATTGAAGCTAATATTTTGTCTTCATGTTGCAGGAAGAGGAGGTCTTTTTGGAACTTGTGCTTGCTGACACCGCCAAGTCCCTGACACATATCTTTTTCGCCCAGAGGCAAACCACTGAGGTACGTTGCTGTGCAGTGCAAACGTTGAGTGCCGATGAATTGGTAGCATTGAACCTGCTGTATTGTACTGAGGATCAATACTTCAGGAATTGGAGGAAGGAAAGTCCAAATATCAATTAAAGAATCTGGATGATATACTAACGAATTTGGATGGCATGTTAACGAATTTGTGCTGTTCAGATTCCTGGAGTCACAGACCGCGGTTTAAAGCCTCGACCCCTTCGCAAGGTGGCAGTGATTGGAGGGGGGTTGATGGGTTCTGGGATCGTCACCGCGCTCATCACGGCCAAGATTCAAGTCATCCTCAAGGAGGTCAATGCCCAGTTTCTCCAGCAAGGACTGGACCGTGTCAAGGGTGAGCTATGAGCATGCTAGCTTGTCTCCATTTTCCTTTGTCACACATGCTGCCTTCTGTGTCATGCGATCATCACTGCACTCATCACGGCCAAGATTCAAGTCATCCTCAAGGAGGTCAATGCCCAGTTTCTCCAGCAAGGGCTGGACCTTAGTTGGTCCTTTACGTTTTTTAGGGTCACGTAAACGTAAACTTACGTATGAGTTTACCTTTACGTTTTCTTACGCGAAAGTTTACGTAAAGTCGCACGGGCAGGGCAAAGAAAGCTTTTTTGTCTGTGAAATGGAAAAATCTGACTGATATGAGGTGGGAGAGGCTGTGACATGTCGGTGTAGATGTGGGCCATCTGTAAGATGATGTGATAATGTGCTAACATGCTTGGGCATAAAAGAACCAAGCTAGTGATTGATTAGGCGCTTCCCATAAAGCCACTTAGTCCGATGAGTTCTTATCTTTCCGGGCAGCCAGAAATGTTTCTGGCTGACCGTAAACGTAAAGCCGTTTTTGGCCCACGTAAGTAAACGTAAGTTTACTACGTAAAGGCACGTACTCGTAAACCCCCGTAAACATAAAATGCCAACTAAGGGCTGGACCGTGTCAAGGGTGAGCATTGATTCATGTCTTTCCACTTCCACTTGCATCGGTTATCTGATGGGTGCTGGTTGCATCGGAATCGGCCTTGTTTTGAGGTATTGATATCCTCTTCTTTATTCTCTCTCTTTTGGTGGCAGCGAATTTCCAAGGCAGGCTAAAGAAGGGGAGGATGACACAGGAGCAGGTGGATAAGATTCTGTCACTCCTCAAAAGGCACGCTCTCCTACGACGATTTCGCTGACGTGGATCTGGTTATTGAGGTGAGACAGGGAAGAGCTAACAACTTGATCATATCTGCTGCACAGCCCCAAAAGTAGACAGCAGTAATCATCTGAAAGGTACAGGAAAAAAGAAATATTTTGTTCTCACATGCATCTTTCTGTTATGCAGGCTTTGATTGAGAGCATTCCGTTGAAGCAACAGATCTTCCAGGACCAGGAGAGGGTGTGCAAGCCTGCGCGTATTGAGACATCTCAACAACGAAAAGTACAATCCCTATGTGCATTCTCCTCTGATGCAGGCTGTGATTGAGAGCATCCCATTGAAGCAGCAGATCTTCCAGGACCTGGAGAGGGTGTGCAAGCCTGCATGCATCCTCTCGTCCAACACGTCAACCATCGATCTCAACGTTGTTGGCGCCAAGACTCGCTCCCAGGATCGCATCATCGGCGCACACTTCTTCAGGTAATCCGGATTTTGTGACGTGCGAGACAACAGGGGGCTCGTGGCCCTGCAGTACGAGATCATGCAAGGTATGCTGCTGAGGATTTGCTGAGGATTTGCAAGGTATGCTGTTGAGGAGTTGCCCTCATGCTGTCAGTAGAAGCAGCAGATCTTCCAGGACCTGGAGAGGGTGTGCAAGCCTGCATGCATCCTCTCGTCCAACACGTCAACCATCGATCTCAACGTCGTTGGCGCCAAGCCTCGCTCCCAGGATCGCATCATTGGCGCACACTTCTTCAGGTATTCCGGATTTTGTGACGTGCGAGACAACAGGAGGCTCGTGGCCCTGCAGTAAGAGATCATGCAAGGTATGGTGCTGAGGATTTGCAAGGTATGCTGCTGTGGATTTGCCCTCATGGTGTCAGTAGCAGCAGCAGATCTTCCAGGATCTGGAGAGGGTGTGCAAGCCTGCATGCATCCTCTCGTCCAACACATCAACCATCGATCTCAACGTCGTTGGAGCCAAGACACGCTCCCAGGATCGTATCATTGGTCCACACTTCTTCAGGTATGCAGGATTTTAAGTCGTTTCAAACTAATCTCTATATGTCTCATAATCGAGCTTTGGGAGGTCTCAAAACAGGATCGCATCATTGGCGCACACTTCTTCAGGTATTCAGGAGCTGCGTCAATCAGAGAGCCTGTACGATTTTCAGCGTACCTGTGTGTGTGTACCTGTTGTGGTTTGGGGGATGCATGTTGGCAGCTCCTGGTCCAATACTCATCGCTGAGATGGCGTTTTACAGGCAAGGCAAAGCCAACCCTTCAAACACCCCAACTCTTGTTTCCCGAACACCCCAACCCCTGAACATTTGTTGTCGGTCAGTTCAGTCCTCCTGCCCATGAGCTGCCACTGCTGGAGGTCCTCCGCACAGTTTCAACTCTCAGTGCTCCTTTTTGCCATCGTTAAGCCTCCATATGCTCTCCTGCTCTCCCCTCCCCTCTAACCACTCCAGCCCTGCCCACGTGATGCCGCTGCTGGAGGTGGTTCGCACGGACAAGGCCTCCCCGCAGGCCATCCTGGATCTCATCACCCTGGGCAAGACCATCAAGAAGACGCCAGTGGTGGTGGGCAGCTGCACGGGCTCTTCGAATGAACTAACCAGTCTATATCTTTTTCTGTTCTCCTACTCTCCCCCTCTCACGCCGACCCCGCGCAGCCCTGCGCACGTGATGCCGCTGCTAGAGGTGGTTCGCACAGACAAAACTTCCCCGCAGGCCATCCTTGACCTCATCACTCTGGGGAAGAACATCAAGAAGACGCCCGTGGTGGTGGGCAACTGCACAGGATTTGCTGTCAACCGTGTCTTCTTCCCCTACACCATGGCCGCCTGCCTGCTCGTGGACCTGGGGGTAGACCTGTACCGGATTGATCGGGTCATCAAGGCCTTCGGCATGCCCATGGGACCCTTCAGGTGATTCCGCCCCTTCCTCCCTTGGTGTTCCGTATCTGTAAGGCTGTAACCAGTAAGGCAGTCAACCGCGTGTTCTTCCGCTACACCATGGCGGCCTGCCTGCCTGCTCGTGGACTTACGGGTGGACCTCTACCGGATTGACCGGGTCATCAAGGCTTTCGGCATGCCCATGGGACCGTTCAGGTGACCAAGCCTTGCCTTTGAATCCGTGTTTGCATTCGCATTCCCTGTCAGCTATTGGCTTACATCGAGATTATGTTGTTTCTCATCCCAACCTGAGTGCTCCCTGTTATGGTATTGTTATGGCGTTTGCGACCAATGGTGCTCTGTCACAGGCTGGCTGATCTGGTGGGAATGCAAGTGGGGCAGGCAGTGGGGACGCAGTTCGTCACTGCCTTCCCTGAGCGGGCCTACAAGGCTGCACTCATCCCGCTCCTGGTTGAGGCCAAACGTTTTGGTAAGGCTCCCTGCACACCTGGTTCGCAAGCCTTTCTTCGTTTTGCAAGCTTCAGGACTCCATGCACGGTTATTCTCTCAGCTGTCTTTTGCCGTTCATTGTGCCACTGCCACAGGTTGTTCGTTCTTTCTGATCTTGGTCAGCCCAAAGTAGAGCTTGTTTTGGTTTGTTTTGTGTTCTGTTTTGTTTTGTTTTGTTTTGTTTTGTTTTTGTTTGTTTGTTTGTTTGTTTGTTTGTTTGTTTGTTTCCCATCATCTCGTTCCTGCATGAGCAGGGGAGAAGTCAGGCAAGGGCTTCTATCTCTACGACAGCAACAGGCGGCAGCGCCCGGACCCGGCGATCAAGGAGTTTGTGGAGCAGGCAGGGAAGTACAACAACATCAAGGCGGGCGGCAAGCCCGTGGCAGTATCTGACAGGGACATCGTGGAGATGATCTTCTTCCCCGTGGTGAACGAGGCGTGCCGTGTGCTGGACGAGGGCATCGTGGTGCGCGCTTCGGATCTCGACATTGCTACGGTCATGTCCATGGGCTTCCCCCCCTACCGGTGAGTGTGTGGTGACATTTCTTCCCTTCCTAGTGGTCAGTGAGAGACTGGCTCTCCTCCCTACAGGTGGTTGGACGAGTGTAGATATTCCCTCCCTTCGTCTTGGTGAGTGTGTAGGGCTGTACTGTTGTTGTAGGCATGCACCCCGATTCATTGTTTTGTGCATCCATGGTTTCTGCTACGAACCCCATTTTCCCAGTGGTGCTTTGTTATGTTTGAGTTCGATCCTGCAGTGCTCGTCTATATGCTGTCATGCTCAGCTTTTGTAATATTATTTTTCCTCCTATTGTTATTGTTCTTGCCCTTTCTGGCTTCCAGGGGTGGCCTGGTCTTCTGGGCTGATCTGGTTGGGGCAAAGTACATTGCGGATCGCCTCACCACATGATCACAGGCCTACGGAGGCTTCTTCAAGCCTTGCAACTACTTGCTTGAGCGAGCAGCTCGAGGCGTCAAGCTGGTGAGTGAAAACAGTCGCTGCATTGTTGGATTCATTGATGAAAGTCCTTATTTGTGATTTTCTTTCCTTTTTTCTTTGTCTTCTTTCTTTGCACTTTTATGGCGTATGGTTGGAATCATTATGCGCCTGGTTTCTGCATCTTGCAGGGAGCACCGAAGGGAGCGTCTTCAATGGCTAAGCTTTAAGTAATATGTTACAGGATGGTGGGCAAGCTATGTAGATGCTGCTGCTAGTGACTGATTGTTCAATGCTGATTGTATGCTCATTGTCCTCTGGTGTAGATTGGAGCTGAATAAGGTGATATACGTGGGTCAACGAAGGATGTACCTGGTGGAATTGTATGCTCTACAAATTCTCAGCATTGTAGAATAAATTCCTTGTTTAGGTGAAGGTTCACAAATCTGATCTGAGTGGAAAGGTGGTCGACTGACAGCATAATTCTTGTCGCTGACGGCCATACGAGTTTCGCAGCCGTCATGTGCGATTACTGTCCCACTATATGTCATCAGCGAACTGTCAACGAGTTCAATAGCACAAGAAAGAGTATCCAGCCCAGTCCCAAGGATTCATGTTGTCAGAAGTTGTGGTTCAGAAGTGTAACAAATGTACTTTTCTAGACGGTCCAGTACGTTACAGTGTGGTGATTCGCGTCTTCCACTTGCACAGCCCCCCCAACCAAACCCAGGGCAGAACTTGCAGCAATGGAAGCAGGCAAGCGTCCAGCCAATCGCGAAGTGGAAGGAGGCTCGCATCATGTGAATGTGTGGCTTGGTTGGTTGGTAGTGGTGAAGTGAAGAGAGAGGGGGAGGGGACAAGAAGCTTTTCCTACCTCTTCTCTTCTCCGTACCGAACCAGAACAGCAGAGTACACGTATGCTCTCTTCTCAGCCATAGGTCTTTCAGAAATAGTTTCCCCTCTTTTACGACTGGCCCCAGTGTTCCTCTTGTTGGTGTCGTAGACGCTGTTTGGGAAGGCATTATTCAGCAGTAGCAAAGAAACAGGCTGTTAGGGTTTCGGTTTGTAGGAAGTATCCTTGCTGACCTTACCCGTTTTACCCTTGGCACCACTTCTACTGTCCACTGTCTCGTGGCAAACTTGGTTACACTGCAAGGACGTTTTTGCAGTTGCGACTTCCCATACAGACGATTGATAGGATTCGAATGTTGTCGAGATTCGTTGTTAATTAGACTTCTTCCCCTTTCGCTCCATTAGGGTTAGCAGCAGCAGCATCAGCATGGCTCACTTCCAGGACCCGTGGGTCAGAGAGTTCGAGGATGCCTCCAGGATGGCGGATGACGTGGCAGGACTCATTCAGGAAAGAAACGACGCGATAAAATCTAAAGGAGATCCATCGCGCCTCGTCGCTGCAGCTCGCCGAAAGATCGCTATGCTTATGGCGAAATCGGACCGTCTAGAAACGGGACTTCGAGCTGCAGCGGAGAAATCGCAACTGTAAGTTTATTGGAAGAGGTATTACGTGACAGGTTATTTTTCTTGTAGACCGGGCGAGCAGCAGTTTTTGGCATTGAAAGACATAGCAGAAGATTGATGATAGTGACAGTCGACGCACGCGCGTGGTTGAATTGACAAGCTGCTAGCGGTCTGTCATAGTGAAACCGTTCTTGTCATAGTGAAACCGCTTCTTCCGCAGATTCTGCGGCTTGGTGATTCCTCCGAGACACACGGCGTGAGTTCCGACTTTCGTTAGTCTTAGCTGCTCTCTCTGTTTCTCCCTTTCTCTCGCTCTCTCTCTCCCCCAGCAACTCCACGGAAATTCGGCGGCGGGAAGACCTGCTTCTCGCTCTCCGCTTCAAGGCGAAGGAGATGGCAGCCGTGCTCACCTCCGCGCAATCAGCGGCTAACAGGTTCGTCGTCGCCTTGATCTAACCTGAAGATGCGTATTGCCCCCCTTTTCCTCCCCCCCTCCCCCCTTCTCCTCCCCCCCTTCCCCCTTCTCCTCCCCCCCTTCCCCCTTCTCCTCCCCCACTTCCCCCTTCTCCTCCCCCACTTCGCCCTTCTCCCCCCCCTCTTCCCCCTTCTCCTCCCCCGCTCCCGCCTTCTCCTCCAGCCCCCTCCTCCCCTCCCTTTTTTGTATTTCTGAGTTTTATTCTCTGCCATGACTTGCGAATTTCGGTAGCATGAGAAGCGGGGTTAAATTTCTTGCTCGTGTCACGTCCGCCTGTGTCTTGTCCTGCCTCTGTCGCGTGCTGCCTTTTATCTCTTTAGTTTTTGCCAGTCAGTCGTGCACAGGTCACAGAGGCAGCTGCCTGACAGGCCAGCTGATGACAGGGACGAACCCTCCTTTTCTTTCCCTCTTTTCCTTTCCTGTGCGGGTTGGCCTGGCTAGGCTGTGACAGGCTAGGCTATGACCGGCTAGGCTGTGACAGGCTAGGCTGTGACCGGCTAGGCTGTGAGGCTAGGCTGTGACAGGCTAGGCTCTGACAGGCGAGCGTTGTTGACAGACACATACCCTCCGTTTCTTCCCCTCTTTCCCCACCGTGCAGGTCAGCCCTGCTGGGCCGTGACGGGCGGTCGCTGGTGGCGGTGGAGACGGAGAGAACAGCCTCGCGAGACAACAAGGGGCTCGTGGCTCTGCAGCAAGAGATCATGCAAGGCATGTTGCCGAAGACTTGCCGTCATGTCGTCAGTTTTTTTCCAATCTCCTAGCCAAGGTGCTACTTCCTGGCTCGTGTCTCGATTGCATCCAGTCACGTGAAGCCTCCTTAGAGTCAACGGGAGTGGCCACTTTCTTTTTGTTAAAAGAACCTTCTCTATTTTTCATTATTCACTTGCTGTTTGGAGCAGAGCAAGACTCGGAGCTGGAGGAGCTGGAGTCCACGGTGGCAACCACCAAGCACATAGCGCTCACCATTAACGGCGAGCTGGACCTGCATCGACATCTGCTGGTATGTGCTTTGTGCTTGCCGATAGTGTAATGAGATGTCTCGTCACGAGCGGTGGCAACCACCAAGCACATAGCGCTCACAATTAACGGCGAGCTGGACCTGCATCGACACCTGCTGGCATGTGCTTTCTCTTTACATTGTCGTCTCGTTGCTACCATTCGCACTGTATGACTGACGCATCACCGTGATACCGTTGTGAGCATTTAAGTGAGCCTTTGCTGCAGCAGAATCAGCTATGCTGACTTGTTGCGGTTCTATTGGCTGAAGCTGTGGCTGCACTTTCAATGACTGAAGCCTTTTCCACGTGTTTGTGTTTGAAATGGCTTTGCTGCCGGTGCACGTGTGCAGGATGATTTGGATGACAACATTCAGTCAACAAATGCTCGTGTACAGGTGGGCTGCTCGTTTTGCTTCTATCACACCCTCTACCCTCCTGGTCCCTCTTCCTATCTTTCTCTTCTTTCCCTCCCTTCCTCCTTCCCTTGTCGTTTGACGCTTTTGCGGCTTTCCTTTTCTCTCTTCCACAATTCAGTTAAAGACTGGGACACATATGTCGTGTTTCAATGCCACACTCTCTCCCTGATTGACACTCTACAGCTGGCTAAGAAGAAGATGTCAATATTCATGCGCCGATCGGACAACACATGCAACATGCTGCTCGTCATGCTAGTAGCTGCAGGGCTGGTATTCGTTGCACTTGTAGTGTATTCGATTCTCAAGATTGTTTTGTGACATCAGATTACAATGCAGACACATTGTATTTCTGAGTCCTGTACAGCTGATTATGCTCTGCCATTGCTAAAAATAAAGAAATGGACTCAGATGCTGTGGTCTGGTCAGTGCTATTTAACCAGAATTTTATCTTCTGCTGTGCAGTGAACAACCGTGCTATTTGCCCCGTCCGTCTCGTGTGCCTCGGTCAACCGTTTCTTCTTGTTTCCCGTGGCATGTATGTGGACGAAATCAACAACTCTGCCACGTCGCTAATCTGTAATTTGCAAAATCGAAATGCCGGTTGTATCCTAACTTTCAGCTGCCTGTACAGTAAAAGATTCTCTCCCTGCGACAGCGGAAGGAGTAGTCTCGAGGTTTATTGCGGAAAATAGTGACAGGAGCATCACGGAAGAAAGTTGGGGGAAGTGGGAAGAGAAAAGGAAAAGGAATTATGGAGGGAAGGAACACACGCGGTAGGAAAGCTGAGCGGGTTTGATTGGTGGAGGAAGTCAATGGAACTCGTCGTCTACTGTACATGAACCTGTACCGTGGAAAGGGAAGCTTTCACGGAGCAGGAACTTGGTACGCCTAGACCTCGCCAACTTCACTAGGGCCAATTTCACCCCCCTGTGTAAACTTTTATGGTTTACCCGATGCCGAAGAGTTGTTTCAAAGACATTTGTTTTTAAAGGGGGAACTAATGGTAGTATATGCGCGCTCATATTGGTTGTTGGGCAACCCTTTATCGCCTAAATATATGGTCGTGAATTATATGACCGTGCGTGATTGGACGCGCATTGCCAAAAAGGGCAAGAAGCATATAATCGACCAATCGTGCGCGGTCAATAATATGTTCGTGCATTTATGCTCTGGCGTTGCAGTTTATGATCGCTGATGTAATTGCCCGCGCGCTCATTGGTCGCGCATTGGGCCGAAAATGACCGCGCATCTACTGTTGTGCGAACGAGGAATTTCGGGGGTACGAACCCTTGTAGGGTTATGTGCCAGGGAAAAAAAACACCTCGAAAATGCCCTGGCATGGCCACTCGAGCAATTATCACGGAATTGGATGGCCACTCGAGCAATTCGGGGACACGTGGGCAAGAGCGAATCACCAAACAAGGCACTGGAGCAATTCTCTCCTGTACCGCACTTTAACAGTTCGTTCAATTGCGCTCCGCTTTGCAGTGTGCTGCACTCGTCGCTCCAGCCCCTCATTCCTATCACATCACATCGCATGTCCTCGCGGGTGTCAATAACTCTCTCCTTATAATTGCGTCTTCCTACTGGTCGCATCTCATCAGCTGGTCCATTCTCTTGGCCACAGCTCCACTCTCCCGATCACAGGCTACGTGGAACCCTAAATTATTCATACAGCCTTTCACGCACACGATCTTCCTGGTCTCTCGTTATAACCTAATTCAACGACATCTAGATTCGTTTGCTTTAATCATATCAATATTATAGTAAAATGGCGAACGCAGCGGCTGAGTGTGAGGGCGTGCCGATAACTCTCCCCAATGCCGCCCATAATCGCCAGAAGCTTCACAACTCCTTCCATCCGCAAGTCGCGGCCAGCCCGCAAGTCATAGGTTTCACCCCGCGCTTCGAGGTCGGCGCGCAGCTCGGTGAAGGCTCCTACGGCGTCGTTAACGTTTGTCACGAGAAAGCCGTGTTGACACGTCAGCTGTCACGGCAACCTAGCTACGGCGCAAGCAGGCTGCATCTTCATCCGGGCGCCGCCGCCGCCGTCGCCGCAGTTGATGGAACTGCCGCGGCTGCCGGAAACGGCGCCGCGAAGGGCGCCGCGGATGGCGGAGGAGGCGGCGACAGCGACGAGGAGAACGGGGTCGAGCGACCGGAGATTGTGGCGAGCGTGGAGCGGGTTGAAGCGACCGAGGCGGCGCTTCTTGCGGCGCGAATCGCGGCGGAAGACGTGGCGGGAGACGCGGAAGGGAAACAACCACCACTTCCGGCGAAGACCGCGCCGGAACCGCCAGCCGCGGGAAAGATGTACGCGTGTAAGACGGTGGATAAGATTCTCAACGTGGAAGGCGGCGCGGCGACTCAGAAGCGGTTGTCTGCTCGCGATATAGAGGTGCGCGTTAGCGCGCTCAAGCACGAGATTAAGGTGCTCAAACACGTGGGTTATCATCCGAACATTGTGAAAGTTGTCGGAGTGTACAATAACGAGAAACGGTTGCGACTCGTTATGGAGCTGTGCGACGCGGGAGATCTGCTGGGGCTTCTAACGAATCCTCCCAAGAAACCGCAGGCGGAAGTTAATAACGGGGATAACGGTGCGAGTAAAGAGGGTGATTCTAACAAAGGAGCAGCAGGCAACGAGACCAAGCCTGAAGAGACCCGAGGGAAACCTTTCACCAAGATTTCGCAATTTTTCAAAGGGCTGGCCAAGGGGACTACCGACCCAAAAACGGGGCTAACAGCAGGGGCTGCTAAGAACGGGGACAACAGCAGCAGCAGTGGCAGTGCACAGCCCGAAAAAATGCTACAAACGGGGCTGTCGGAACGGCAGACGGCTCTGATGTTCCGGCAGCTGGTAAAGGCTGTGGAGCACTGCCACTCGCGGCAGGTGATTCACCGTGACATCAAACTGGAAAACGTTCTGCTCAACCACTGCTGTTGCTGCAAATGCAAGCCTGCTGGCTCAGACGGAGGAGCACAGGAGAATGGAAACCAGCAGCAGCAGCAGCAAGGCGAGCCGTCTACCTGTTCGGGTTACGTCGTTAAGCTCGCGGATTTCGGCCTGGCGAAGCTGCTGCAGCCAACACAAGCCATGGCGAACGGCAACAAGGGCAGTCAGCTGTACAAGGCACCTGAGGTGGCGCAGAGCCGGTGGTATACCACCCAGGCGGACATGTGGTCTCTCGGCGTGGTGCTGTACGCTTTGCTAAGTGCGAGGTTTCCGCCGAGGGATGCCCAGGGGATGGTGGCGTGGGAAGCGGTTTCGGATCAGAGGTTGTTGTTTAAAGGGGGGAGCTGGAAGGAGGTGAGTGAGGAGGCGAAGGCGCTAGTGGGTGTGCTGCTGTCTTGGGATCCAAAGGGGAGGTTGGATTGTGGCGAGGTGTTCAATCACCCATGGCTGGTGCAGCACTGCAGATGAGAAAGAGGAGAGGAGCGAGGGGAGATTGGTTGGAGTGGGAAGGAGCAGCGGCTGTATTGTGGCGAGGTGTTTAACCACCCGTGGCTCGCGCAGCACTGTCGATGAGGGGGGAGAGGATGAGGGATGAGGCAATGTGGAGGAGAGAATGATGCAACAGGTGTAGAGGGTTAGATAGGCAGCTGCCTCACTTCACTTCATTTGCCTGCTGTGTCGTCTCTTCCTTCTCCCTGGAACCTTGAACAATCAGTACTGTGGTGAGTGCTGCAAATAGCACTTGCCTTTCTTGATTTATACCTGATGTTTTTATTAATTTTGAAGTGCACTGCATTACCGAACAAGTATGCTAGTAGTGTGACATAAACGACCCCGCTATACAATGAATAAATCCACCATGGGTGATGGTCTAGATTGAGAACAGGCCAGTGTTCACTGCATGCAGCCTGGTTGGGGAAGAGTAGAGACAGCTGGAGTGGGGGGGCTGAGTCAGGAAAGAGACAGGAGTGAGCATTGCATTGCCAGTACACTGCAGAATTCTCAAGAGCTGGACTGGGGGGTTGCTAGCTTTGCCGAAGGTCTGCTTATGTGCTGCACAACGGTAGAGGCTTGGAGCAGACAGGGAGGACATGGAGGAACAGATGGAGCCGCCGTAGGGTGCAGCAGTCAGAGGGCTGCGGGGTGGGGTCAGCGACATTGAGATTTCTCAAAAACCAGCTTGGAGCAGACGAGGAGGACATGGAGAATCAGATGGAGCCGCAGAGTGCAGCAGGCAGAGGGCTGGGGGGGTGCTGGGGCCGGCACTTTTTAGGCGCCTTTTTAGACGGAAGTAGCCAGACGGAAGCAGCACGGGAGGATCAGGCGGGCTCTATGACGAGACTCCAGAGCCCCGTGAAGCTTAGCCTTGAGAATCGATTGCCTTGCGAGGGTATTGGGAGTTGAGAGTCTTAAAAGCAGCAGCAACGGTGGTTCAGACAGGCTCCGTGACGAGACGAGACACCAGAGCCATGTCTATTTTGTAGGAACCTTAAAATTCAGAGCGCCAGCTTGAGAATCATAAGATTGAGACTCCACAGCCTTGCGAAGCTGCACTTGAGCATCAGGTGTGGGGAGTGGGGAGTGACGGGCAGGGAGTGGGGGAGTAGGGAAAAGAAGTGGGAAAAATGCTTGTTTTGGGGGACTCGCAAATAGCTTAGGGAAGGTGGAGAGAAAGTGGAGAGTGCGGAGAGAGAGGAGGCACACAAACGTACACTTACCTCTTCAAATACTCCTCTTTGAGTTCTCGCTAGTTAATTTGTCAAGCTTTCGCCCCAAGAGCTCTGAGAAGCTCAGCCTGAGCTTCGGGGCAGAAGGCAGATGCGCTGCGGCGAGCACAGGGCAGGCAGAAGCGCTGCGAGAAGAAGAAGCTGCAGGCAGGCGAGCAGCACACAGGGGCGCGGCAGAGGGGAGAGAGGAGAGAGAGGAGGGAGAGGAGAGAGAGGAGGGAGAGGAAAGAGAGGAGAGAGAGGAGAAAGGGGACAGAGGAGGCAGACTTTCTCTTACCTCTTTGAATACCCGCTCCTTTATTCGTCAAGCTTTCGTGCCAAGCGCTTTGAGCAGCTCTGCCTGAGCCTCGGGGCAGAAGGCAGACGCGTTGCGGCGAGCGCAGGGCAGGCAGAAGCGCTGCGAGAAGAAGAAGCTGCAGGCAGGCGAGCAGCACACGGAGGCGCGGCAGATGGAGCAGGCAGATCCGAGGAAGAACGCGCGACTTGGATGGGACGAGCCACACCCGAATGGATCCCGGCAGATGTAGCCGTCCTCGAGAAACCTGGCGGGGGTATCACCAATGATCATTACCAGGAACGGACATTGAGCCAGAGGCAGAGGCGGAGTCAGGAAATAAGACAGGAACAAACATTGAGCCGCACTCGAATGGATCCCGGCAGATGTAGCCGTCCTCGAGGAACCTGGTGTCACCGGGATGAGTATCACCACACCAGGAACGGAGGTTCGTACCAAGCCAAGAATGAAGGTTAGGATTTAGGACATAAAGCAGGCAGATGTAGCCGTCCTCGAGGAACCTGGTATCAGCAGGAAAGGGCATCACCGGGAACGGAAGTTACAAGTAAGCAGCGCACGCATTGAGAACACTTACGCGATCTGCGGTGCGAATGGCGGCCGCCGGCCCAGGTAGTCGTAACGCGCTTCGAGTTTGCACAGCGTGCACGTGAAGATGGTTTCGCGGGACTTTTCGACCGTCGTTCGGTCCACATCAGAAGATTCCATGATCGCAGTCCGTACAAAGAAACGGGACCCGTGCGAAGAGGCGGAGCGGGAACCAAACGAAGAACAAAAGCAGCTGCAATGAGCACTCGTTCACATCGAGATGCTCCAACTGGGTCTTGCGAGGATCGCTTTCTCCAAATCCCTATCTACCACGACCAAGTCGATCGCCATGGCGTCATCCGCTCTCTCCAACGCTCACGCGTGTCCGAGCATTTCCGCTCCATAACGAGATTGAAAAAAACAAGCAGAAGCTAAGGTCCTTGTACACGTTTCCAGCAAAATCGTTAACCCCTTTAAACAAGATTTGATGATTTGCTCATGTGTAAAGTTTGTTTCAGAACTCGACTCTTATTAGAACAGTTCATTCAGATACGCAGCTCCGCTATCGCCACTAGATTTGGGATGTTTTTTTCACTAAATTCACTAGCTTCGGCAAGCTGGCAACAGAAATGAGCTTCTTTGCCACGCTGGAAGTCAAGCCGCTCATCAAAATTCCATTCACGCTACCCAGGGCAGGCATCACGCTATGATTGGCTAATGGCCCATTGACTGTCTCGTCAGCAAAGCCAGCACTTTCAGTTCTTCCAAATAGATTTGTAACCGTACGTGAGAGCTTTGAAAACAACTGAACCGCGCAAATCACAATCACACAAGACCCGCAAATTTTGCTACTCTGTGCTGTACAAACCGAGCCGTGATGCTGTCCCGTTGAGTGGAGCACGGCAGCAGCCAGGGCACTGGGGGCCAAGACACAATCCTGCCCAACCATGGCTCGTTCTGGGCCACGGGGCAGAACGAAAGCAAAGAACTCAACTGACGTCGTGCCGCGTCTCTTGTTTCATTTCAAATTCCTCCAACGCTCTCTGCTTCCACCAACACCCGTCTCACACTTGTCAAGTTGGAAACAGACACTAGGTTTCCACTCCCACGGCTTCGAGTTCTTTCCAGTTCCTATTGACGAAACTCGTCTCGTCTTCGCCGACGTGGATTCCATATCGCGCCCTACCTGCTATCATCGTCCCTGATGGTTCTTTCACGATCCTGTCTCAACTCGAAATAGCTTTTCCGTAGATTCTTTTCTGCTATGCGGAAACGAACACCGGAGCTCTGCTTTCGTCATTGCTTCTCAAGCGCATTTCTTGGTCTTGAAGCTGTTCTGCCAGAACAGACTATCGCCAGTCCTACGTAGCGTTGCAATAGATTCGACGGAGAAAACAAGGGCGGTAAAATTCTACTAATTATTGTTTCGCAATAGATGTAATATCGAACGTCTCTAGGCTTCATCAAACATGGCGGCACCTGGAGCGATAATCATTACTAGAGCTCTTCTGCTCTCCACCGCACTCCTTTCCACGATTACCACTGGCGATACTACTATTACCAGCACCTTTGGTCGTTCGAATTCGATTCCTAGTACCAGCTACGTTGAGATATTTTCAAAGGCCTTCTCTAGACGTTTTCCTTACGGAGCCAGCGGCAGCGGAACACCTGATCTCCCTCTCGGTTCGTCACCCGTCCCGACAGCTATAGTAACTGACACCGCTGCAATAACACGTCCTAAATCGAATAAAATCGGATATCGTCTTCCGCATCGCATGGCTGGCGCTCGAATCAGAATCACAGACAACCCGCAAGCAGAAAATCCTCAAGATTTTGTCGAAAAACACCCCACTTCAGCCAGCAAAGACGAGCCGCCAACTTCCAAGTTAACTTTGCCTCGACCTACTCCGCATGCACCACTTCCGCCACCGATGACGCTGTTGGGAGGTCCGCGCAGGGGTTACGTGCCTGTTAGGAGGCGGAATCCCAGCGGCGGTCTCCAATCGAGTCGCCAGATTAGCCCGAGTGACGGCACCCGCCACCGTCAACTGCGCGATCGCGACAGGCAGGCTGAGGAGGAGGATGGCGAGGCTGGCATGACCGAAGCTGGAGTGACCGAGGCTGGGCAATCCAAAACAAGCCCCGACCTGTACTATAACGGAGGGCCTGTTATCGCGGATCCGGTCGTCTACCTCATCTACTACGGCACGTGGCCTGAGAATTCCGGAGCTGCCATTATCGATAATTTCGTGCAGTCGCTGGGAGGGAACGCGAGCAGGCAGGGAGGGCCGAGGGGTGAGAGCAGCGTGAGCGGCTGGTGGGCGATCACCACGCATTACTTTATGACACGGGCTGACCGCAAGCTGGCGTACGTCACTCCTAAGGTGGGTGACTTCTTGTGACTCCTAAGGAGGTGGGGAAGAGGGTACCTTCTCCCCCCCATTCTCCCCTCCTTCCCCCTTTACTTTCCCTCAACCCCATGCATGTCTTCGTGCAATTCCCATCTGTCAGCAGCACCATGCGTCGCCCTCGACATCCATACTCCATTCCTAGCTCATCCCGATTTCATTTCCCTCCTCCCCTCCATCCATACCCGTCTTTCCCTCCATCCATCCCGTTTCCTCCCTCCGAACCACTCTGCAGGTTCGGTTTGGAGGTTCGGTAGTGGATCAGGGCTCCATCGGCCATTCCTTCTCCGACACCGAGATTGCCAGGAGTGAGTCGTGTTGACTTCTATCTAAGTCGAAGCATTGAGAAAGCTTGGAGTGTGTTGCCGATCAGCCCTCCTCTGCCAACGCCTGTTTTCCCTCCGCTCTGCCTTTCCTCCTCCCCTCTGCATTCCTCCTCCGCTCTGCCTTCCCTCCACCGCTCTGCCTTCCCTGCTCGTCCTGCTGCAGACTCCACATCAAGCACCAAGAACGCTTGAAGAGTGTTGCCGATCAGCCCTCCTCTGACAACGCCCTGTTTTCCCTCCGTCCTGCCTTCCCTCCTCCGCTCTCCCTTCCTTCCTCGTCCTGCTGCAGACTCCGCATCAAAATCACCACATTCCCTGCGTCCCCTCCGGCCCAAGTGCCTTCGCCCCTCCATTTCAGTCCCCCCCCCCCCCGTCGTTACCATAGTTTTTCCCCATCGTCTCCTCCCCTCCTCTCCTCCCCCGTCTTCCTCTGGTCGTTAACCGCAATGTGGGCACGGCACGACCGACCAACCGGCTGCCGCACAACCCAATCGCTGCCACCAGAGACCCAATCGAAGGAGAAGGGTATGCGATTGGGTAGTACAGCTCCAGAGCTTCAAAACCTTCCCCTTCGTCTTCCCGACCCCGTTCCCCCGTCCCCCTTTCCCCCGCACTCCAGTTGTCGATCGCAACGTGGGCAAGGCCAACTGTCTGCCGTCCGATCCAAGGGGGGCCTACATCGTGCTCACGAGTGTTGACGTGCCCTCAACTTCACATGCCTTCTCACCCCCAACCTCCAGTTGTAGACCACAACGTGGGCAAGGCCAACAGATTGCAGTCCTCGTGTCTCCTCTGCTCGCCTCCGCATGCCCTGCCTTCACTCGTTTCCCGGTCTCTCTTCTTCCCCTTCCCTCCCCCTCCCCCACCCCCCCCAACCTCCAGTTGTCGATCGCAACGTGGGCAAGGCCAACCGGCTGCCGTCCGATCCGAACGGGATCTACATCGTGGTCACGAGTGCTGACGTGGATGTGTGGGAGTTCAGCCGCTGCAGCTATTGCGGGTGGCATGCACAGATGATGGACATGCGCACTGGCAGCCCCATAGTGTATGCATTTGTGGGGCACCACTCGCTGTGCTGCCAGTACAGCAAGTAAGTGTACCATTGCACTGTGCTCGTATTGCCAGTGAGTCACCACTCGCTGTGTGGCACCATTCCCTGTCTTGACAGTGCGGCTTATAAAGAGGACAGATGATGGGCATGCACACGGGCAGCCCCGTAGCATGCGCGCTCGCCGGCCACCACTCCTTCTGCTGTCCGTGCATGCAGCTCCTCCCCCAACGGGCTGCCAGCCATTGGGTTTTGAGACGTCTAAGAACTCAAAACTTTTGAGACGACTCAGACCTCAAAACTTGAGATGTCTCAGAACTGCCCGTTCATTCAGCTCCTCCCCCAACGGGCTGCCAGCCAGCCAGCCATGGACAGCATGGCGTGCAGAACAGCATCGGAACACCATGGTGATAGTTGCAAACCTTTTGAGTCGACTCAAAAGTGGGCTTCCCAAATATTGGTGGTCCCAAATATCGGGTAACACCATGGTGATAGTTGTGAACCCGTGGGCTTCCCAACTATCACCACTAAAGCTGCTGATGCTGACCCTTTCCTTTCCTCCCTGCCCACCACCATGCTCCTCCCCCTCCACCCCCATTCCCGCCTGGCAGCTCCTCCTTCAACGGGCTACCAGCCATAGACAGCATGGCGAGCACCATCGCTCATGAAATCACTGAAGCTGCTGACTGGGTGACGCCTCCTGCCTGCTAGACCCCCCTGCCCACTCCCATGTCCTCCTCCCTCCCACCTCCCATCCTCCACTTGCAGCTCCTCGGGCTACCAGCCATATACAGCATGGCGAGCACTATCGCCCACGAGATTACAGAGGTCGCCACCGACCCAGACATGGGTTCTCCCAACCACTGCCACTAAAACTACTTCCCATCCCGCCACCCCGCCCATCTCCCCATTCCCATTGGCAGCTCCTCCCCCAACGGACTACCAGCCATAGACAGCATGGTGAGCACCATTGCCCACGAAATCACCGAGGCTGCTGCTGACCCCTCCTGCCTGCTTAACCCTCGCATTTCCCTGCCACCCCCCCTGTCCCTCAAATCCCACCCCATCCCACCCTGGCCGCTCCTCCCCTACCGGGCTGCCAGCCATAGACAGCATGGTGAGCACCATCGCCCATGAGACGACAGAGGCCACCACCGAGTACACTGGGCTGGGCTCTCCCCGCGACCACCACCACTGAACCTCTACCCATTTCCTTCCCCGTTCCCCATCCCCATCACCCTGGCAGCTCCTCCCCCAACGGCATGCCAGCAATAGACAGCATGGTGAGCACCATCGCCCACGAGATCACTGAAGCCACCACCGATCCGGACATTTCCTCGGGCTGGTTCGACGCTTCCGGGCAGGAAAACTCCGACAAGTGCGGCTCCTTCTACGGGCAGCCGGAAGAAATAAAACGCGCCAGCGGCCCCAGCAGCAGCACCAGCGGCGGCAGCAGCAGTGGTACCAGCAGCAGCAGCGGTAGCACAACCAGCAGCAGCAGCCGCCACAGGGAGAACGCGTTTTTCAAATCCAACTTTGCAGCCCCTCAGAGCGATGAGTACGAGTACGAGTATAACATGGTTGGTAACCACGGCATGCGTTACATGGTGGAGGGCAACTGGGATATACTCACACGCATGTGCCAGATCCAAGGAAAGCCTCACGACCCTAGGTCCACCGAACCTGAACGGCTGGCTCCGAACCAGGGCTTGGCTCCGAACCAGGATTTGGTTGGAGGTTCGACAGAAGGCGGATGGAGAGCGTCGTTTTTAAGTGATTTCGCCGCTACAGGTTCCGCAGCCCTTAGTTCTGCTGCTCCAGGCTCGGAATATATTGTCATCCCTCCTGACGATGGCGACAGCATCGGATCCCTGCCCCCTCCCAGCTCTGCCGCCCCAAGCTCAGCCGCCCCAAGCTCTGCTGCCCCAAGCTCTGCCGCTCCAAGCTCCGCTGCTCCAAGCTCTGCTGCCCCAAGCTCTGCCGCCCCAAGCTCCGCTGCTCCAAGCTCTGCCGCCCCGAGCTCTGCCGCCCCAAGCTCTGCTGCCCCTAGTTCGGAGTATGGCCCAGGTTCGGAATATGCCCCAGGCTCGGAGTATGGCCCAGGTTCGGAGTACGCCCCAGGCTCGGAGTATGTGTACTACCCACCTGGATCTGAAGGCGAGATTGGCTCATTGGCTTCTCCCAGCTACGCCGCCCCTAGTTCCGCCGCCCCTAGTTCCGCTGCCCCTAGTTCCGCCACCCCTAGTTTTGCCGCCCCTAGTTCTGCCGCCCCTAGTTCTGCAGCCCCTAGTTCCGCCGTCCCTAGTTTCGCCGCCCCTAGTTCTGCCGCCCCTAGTTCTGCCGCCCCTAGTATCTCCGCCCCTAGTTCCGCCGCCCCTAGTTCCGCCGCCCCTAGTTCCGCTGCCCCTAGTTCCGCCGCCCCTAGTTCTGCCACCCCTAGTTCCGCCGCCCCTAGTTCCGCCGTCCCTAGTTCTGCAGCCCCTAGTTTCGCCGCTCCTAGTTTCGCCGCCCCAAGTTCCGCCGCTCCTAGCTCCGCCGCCCCTAGTTCCGCGGCCCCTAGTTCCGCCGCCCCTAGTTCCGCGGCCCCTAGTTCCGCGGCCCCTAGTTCCGCCGCCCCTAGTTCTGCCGCACCTAGTTCTGCTCTTCCAAGCTCTTCCCCTCCCAGCAATGCTGCCCCCAGTTCTGCTGCTCCCAGTTCAAACAGGGCACCTGGCTCGGAAAATGCACCAGGCTCGGAAGTTGCACCGGGTTCAGATGCAGCACCTGGCTCGGAAACAGCGCAAGGTTCGGAATTGGCCCCTGGTTCGGAAGCAGCTCCTAATTCGCAGGTTGCTCCAGGTTCGAACGGTGCTCCGGGATCAACTAATGCACCAGCCTCAGAAAATGCTCCAGGCTCTGAAAATGCTCCAGGCTCGGAAAATGCTCCAGGCTCGGAAGAGGCTCCAGGCTCGGAAGAGGCTCCAGGCTCGGAATATGCTCCAGGCTCAGAAGATGCTCCAGGCTCGGAGAACGCTCCAGGTTCAGAAAATGCTCCAGTCTCGGAAGAAGCTCCGGGTTCAGAGAATGCTCCAGGCTCGGAAGAAGCTCCAGGCTCAGAGAATGCTCCAGGCTCGGAAGAGTCTCCAGGCTCGGAAGGATCTCCAGGTTCAGAGAATGCTCCAGGCTCAGAAGATGCTCCAGGTTCAGAGAAAGCTCCAGGCTCAGAAGATGCTCCAGGTTCAGAGAATGCTCCAGGCTCAGAAGATGCTCCAGGTTCAGAGAATGCCCCAGGCTCAGAAGAAGCTCCAGGTTCAGAAAATGCTCCAGGCTCGGAAGATGCTCCAGGTTCGGAGTACGCTCCAGGCTCGGAATATGCTCCAGGTTCGGAGTACACTCCAGGCTCAGAAGATGACCCTTATGCTCCAGGGTCGGAAGGTGCTCCAGGTTCAGAAGCTGCTCCAGGCTCGGAATATGCTCCTGCTCCAGGCTCGGATTATGCTCCTGCTCCTGGCTCCGAGTATGCTCCTGGCTCGGAGTATGTTCCACCTATTGAAGACCTCCCACCTGATTTGGAGCCTGCTCCAAGCTCCGAGGATGGACCTGGTTCAGAATATTATCCAGGTGGATCAGATTCATTGAGTTACGCACCTGGATTCGGAGATTCTTCAGGTGGATTGGATTCAGGGAGTAACGCACCTGGGTTCGGAGACTATTCAGATGGATCGGATTCAGGTAGTTACGCACCTGATTTTGGAGATTTCGCGAGTGGATTAGATGCAGGGAGCAATGCACCTGCATTCAGAGATTATTCGGGTAATCTGGATTCAGGAAGCAGCGCACCAGAATTTGGAGATTATTCAGGTGGATCGGATTTAGATAGCTACGCGCCTGGAGTGGGAGAATATGCGGGTGAGAGTCTTTGAAATCTAGGCAGCCGAGACCTGATGAGCTTTCGGAACCACTCTTTCATTACTAAGAGAATAAGGACGGATTCACGTCTTTGCACTCGATAGCTTCCTGCATTTCAGCTCTTATATCACATGCGGTGTTGTTCTGATATGGCTATGGATGGCGGCATATGGTTCTGCTACTAAGAATCTGCTCACAGCGTTCCTAGCATAGTGACAGCTGTGGAAAATACTGTGGGTGGGATGTGATGTGAACAACCAACAGGCTCAGTTTTCTTCCCTGAACCCTACCCAACCGTTCTTAAATGTGCGGAAACACAGTGATACGAAGCATTTTCCCTAACCTCAGTGAATCAAAACTGGAAGTGTCATGTCTATGTTCAAGGGGAAATGAGGAGTTACCGAAGTCCAGAATATTTAATGTTTATTTATATAGTCACCAAGAGTTAAATGTTTGAGGTGTTCATATTGGCTTCACACGGCCTCGTAGTGAGTACAATAATGGAACCAGCCAGTGACCTTGGACGTGCGCGCTTCGTGAAGTGCAGCTTCCTTCCCATAAGATTTTCGTGACCTCGAGTTACTTTCTCCTTCACTGTCTTGTTCGCGACATTCGCCTCAAACCACCAAATGGCGAACTTTTGCGACAAGCACAGCACACCCCTACCCGAATAGTTGGTGAGGGGGGGGGCAAGCAGCATTTTCTCCCATCCCCAACAAAAATGGCGCGAAAACGGGCTGTGTGATCCCCTGTGGAAATGGCACCGCCCAGGGCTCCTCCAACCAACATCGTGTATTCGTAGGTCAAGCTCTTGAGAGCAAGAGAGAGGAGAGGGGGAAGTGAGCACTGAGCAGAGGCAAAAGCATGTAACACCAGCTGTGCTTGCGCGAATTGGAGTTAGGTCGAATCGAGTTGAGTCTCGAAGTTAGGTCAAGTTATAGTCTGGTGTCCAGGACTACGGCCATAGAGTTGAATAGCGCCCAGCTACTTCTGAAAGAGCATTTCCCGGACTGTTTATTCACACGCATTGTTATCCATGCACGAATGCTAGCCCAATGCGCATTTGCGACAATGGTAACATGACTAGCATTATCGCAAGGTCTAACAGTCTCGCGCCAATGTCCGTCTAGCTTTTAGCTCAATACACCATTTCGCATATTTTTTTATCGCGACTAACAGAAATGGCCCACAGGTTTGGCTCAAGTCGTTTAGAGAGGCGAAACAGTATCGCGGACGACTCGGACCCATGCGCGGGCGACGGCAACGGGCAGGGGCGCTACGGCCAGGGGGAAGTCGGCTGGTGCGGCTCGCTCTTTTCGCGCGCACCCAAGCGCGGCGGACCCGCGGGCCGCTTGCGCGGGTTCACATGGGACCCGTGGCGGAATGATTCGGGGAGCGGCGGTGGCGGCGGAGGCGGAGGCGGAAGTAGTGGCTGGGGATGGGGAAGCGGAGGCGATGGCAACATGTCACCGCGCTCTCCGCGCACTCCCCGCACTCCGCGCTCCCCGCGCGCGCCGATAACCCCTCGCAGACGCCGGCACGATGGCAGTTACCGACCCGGCACGCCGTCCCATCGTCCTGGCTCTCCTTATAAGAACGCGCCGCCATATTTCCTCGGCGGGCAACCCCTCGCCTCCGTGGCCGCTTCTGGGTCATACGATCCTGCTAACGGGGGATCGCTTCCCGACGGAAACAGCGGCGGGTTTTGGGGAGGTGGTCCGGCGCTGAGCGCGTCCCGGCGAGCGGGGCGGCAGCAGGGAGGCGGCAGAGACGGCGGCAAGGGCGGGGCAGGGGGTTTCCTGGTGATGAGCGATTGGCTGACGTGTTCGTTACAGTCCCTGCTACAATCGCGTATGGAGCAGCTGCATGCGTCGGAACAGGTGAGCCGGCGGCAGCTGATGGCGGAAACTGCGGAGATGGTTCTCAATGTGCTCGACGCGCGTTCCTCAGACGATGCGCTCGCGCATCGCTCCGAAGTCTCCGCGCTGCGCCGCCTCCAACGGGAGTCGTTCAGCGACCTATTGCACCTTCGCGACCGGCTCACGCGGCTCGAGCTCCTCGCGGACGAGTTCTCCCTCGGCCAGCACCGCGTCGCGCCCGCCGCGTTCCTCGCCGCAAACTCCGGCCGCACCGAGGTCTCGGGCCGCATCACCATCGGGTCCGCGCTCGTCCCAACAGGCGGCCTCCGCTCGCACCGCTCCCGAGCCGCGATGGAAGCGGCGGGACTGCGCTCCGGCGTGCAGATGGCTTTAAATCTCGCGTCCCTCTGCCGGTCGTCGGACCGCCTTAGTACCGTTCTAGGAGTCGGGCCGCCGGACCCGCTAGGCCCGGCATTAGCGCTAGGCGGCCCGGTGGTGCTGCAGAAGGCGGTGTATCGGGCGCAGGTGGCGGAAGGGTTGGCGGTGACCGCCGCGCCGATGGGCGCAAGCGGAGCGGACCTGGTGGGGGAAGGCTCCGTGGGGGCGGGAGTGCGCGGAGATAGTGCATCGGCTCAGGTAAGCTGACTAGCACGCACCTACGTGTTTCTGATTTCTATCCGTTATCGGCTTTGACATCCTCGTCTCTCTTCCTTGTTCCGTTATCCTTGTCTAAATCAAGCCTCTTTTTTTCCCTGTTCTTCCCGCTCCTCCCTGTCTTCCTATTGGTCGCATATCCGAAGCAGCCACGTGGCCTCACCACGTTTAGCAGCGGCACGATCCCGCTCCTCCAATCCATCCGCGGGTCAGCCCTCGCGGTAACCGTCGACACGCCCGTCCCCGCGCTTTCCCCCTTCCTGCCCGCGGTCTCCCGCGCTCTTTCCGCCATTCCGCGCGCGCTTCCTCCATCCATCGCCCGCGCCCTGGGCCTCCGCTCCTCGCGCCAATCCCCGTACACCCCCCTCCGCCCCTCCTCCTCCCGCTCCGCTTCCGCGGATCCGCCCGCGCTGTCGTTTACTGCGGGAAAGCTAGTCGCGGGGTGGGGGGTTCCGCTGGAAGATCCTTCCGCGCTCGCCGCCGCCGCGGCGGATACTGCGCTCTGCACCTCCGCCATGGGGCATCTTGCGCTCCGCTTTTCCCCCACTCTGCGCGTTTCCGCCGCCGCCGCGTCGCACTCGTGGCCCGCGCCGCCCGCGCCGTCCTTCCCCGGACTGCACTGGTCAGAAATGGGTCCCCTGGTGCTTCC